AATGCAAGCAAACAGATCGGACAAGCGCTGACTGAGGACTTCACCCCCGTCTTTGAACAGTGCGGGTGGAAGGTCATCCGGACCGGGAGCTCGGTGGCGCTTGAGGGAACATATGCAGTCGTAAACCTCCGAGGCCGTAGGTGGTCCCACGTTCACCGTCCAGAGTTCTACTTCACCTGTGGGCTGTAGATGAGTGCCGGCTGGTGGCCACGACAGTTGTTGTTCGAATTATTCAGCCCATCGTTCGAGGCGTTCTTCTTTGTTCGAAATGGTCGTTCCATTCTTGTGTTTGATAGTTTCACTCACAGGTGGTTTCCGGGGACCGGTCACACGGATCAACTGAAATAATCTCCGGGCATTACCTGCTTTCTGCACGTAAGGAATTGAATTCCTTACACGCTTAAAATTTGATGAGGCAATACTGACGAATACCGAATTCGGATGGGCAGACCAGTAGTTCAAAACCACCCCAGTGTCAGTTGGCTTCTCCAATACTGTGGTCTTTAGTTTTCCCCGACCTTATGTGTCATACAGTCTAAGAATGCCAGATGTTGACTCTATCTCCATACCAAATGTGATGTGTGGATTCAGCTCATTCAGACAGTTGTAAAACTCATAACAATGTCTCGTTTACTCACGATGAAAGTGTCACCCACATAACGCCAGAACACCTTGGGTGGGTATGGAAATCCGCCTAGAGCTTTTTGTTCAAATTCTTCCATAAATATATTTGCCGAAACCGGGAATATTGGAGATCCCATTGCTAGACCTTGTCCCATGGTGTAAACCACAGAGGCGAAAACAAAGTGGGTGAGATTCAGACATGCTTTTATGCCTTCCACCATTTCATCCACCGTGAGCTGTGTCCGTTCTGAAAGGGTGGTGTCTGTTAGTAGCAGTCGCTTAGCTATTTCTAAAGAGTCCCCTTTTGGCACATGTGTACCTAACGAATTGACATCGAAACCTACCAGGATGTCATCTGGTTCAACGGTGACCCCGGGTACTTTGTTGGCAGAGTCACACGAATTTTTAATGCGAGTACTAGATTTCCTGGTGATGGGTTTTAAAATACCGACCAAGAATCTGGCCAGCTCATGCGGTAGGAAAACTATTCCGTCTACTATCGGTCTCACCGGGACATCTTGTTTGTGGATTTATGACAGGCCATAAAGCAGGGGTTGGACTGCAATTTTGGGTTGCAATCGATACCAGTTACCTTGCCCTAAGTGGTTTATGACGGACCGCAAATATTTACCAACTTTATTATAAATGTAATATTATTCTGTAATATTAATAATATGTGATAGCAATATGTGATATAATGTAATTATAGATGTAATATTCGCATTATCCACCACCCGGTAAGGACCATCAACTAGGTGTTGCTTGACCATCTGTAGATACTCACCCTTGTTCATGACAATAGTGATCTTACCCTTACCCGCCTTTGTATTCACTATGTTGTCCATCTCTTTAGGGTGTTTAAGGATCTTTGCTCTGATGGTGCAATATTTGGGGCTCCCGGCTGCTGGGACTTAAGGACTGTAGCCAGCTGTACCCGTAGCTTCTCCGCCTCCATTGATCTGTTTACAGACAGGAGTCCTAGATTCCACTTTTTCTTTTATTACAAACCACTTTGAGCAGTCAAAAAAATTGCCATTGTCGTGGTGGTACCAGCGTTGAATAACGTCCGTTCATTTTTCACTCATTTTTAGAAAAAATCCAGAAGTACGTAGTCAGATATCTGAAACCGTTACAGTAAAACCTACCAACCGAAAAAGGCTGATTCCAATGCAGAAAGTTCCAACTACACAAAGACTTTTTTCTCGAAGATAGGTTGTCACCATGTCCCTAAGATCCTCCTCGGGAATCGACCACTAGTCAGCTAGACTAACTGAGTGCTCACCAATAATCACTTCGTTTTGATCACATCATCAGTTCAAAAACCACCCTTATACGATCAAAACGTGCTTCCCATTTTAATTTCAGCTGCAAATTCTCCTATGTATGGCAATGAATTACGCAAGACTACAGGAGAGACGCTACTATGAGGCGTCCGACGCAGGAGAAGAGGGAGTAGCGCTGCAGCAGTAATCGTTCGCTTCAGTCGAATTTGACTAAAAACTGCCACGTAAACCTATTCCAAGATTTAGGGCCTACTGCACTCATCTTTTTACAAAAAAAAACTGTTGTCACATTGTTTCGTGGTAAACTCGTTGTCTACTGTTTATCCACCAGTACGAGCTTCATCCTTTCTACGCTCCTTAAAACATGTGCGACAAAATGGTATTTAACTGACATCAGCTTGACTAATTTTTCTGCTCGCACCCCAGTTGAAGTAAAGTTTAAGCCTTCAGTTTGCATTGTTTCAGGTCCTTTTTTACCTTTTCATCAAGTTTCTAGTCTACTACTATATTCCTTTTTCGCTGTTACGCGTGCAATCACATTCGTTTTTTCAATATGCTATCCTCAAAAGGCAGGTCACACTACATTCCCGCTCCTCTTGTACCACTTTTCTGTTATCGGTAGAAGCCATTCTACCGTGACCTTTGTAACTGACTTTGGTGAACAGCATGCCTCACCATACACTTCGAGTAGTTATCGGTTGAATTTTCCTTTCTTCGGTTGTTCACCATTTACTTCGTCTCGCAGACATTTGTAATACATGGGTCCCAACATGATTTCTAACTGTTTCTAACTTGATTCGGTCGTTGTATTCATGAATATAGAGGTAAGACCGCAAGGATCGCAGTGAGATGGGAGCCATAGCGAAAAATTTTGAATTGCGAGCGCCCTGTGGATTGGACCAAAGGTGGAAAAACGAAAAAACTCGCCAGCCTTTACGACGGAAGCGCGGTCAGTCTACCGCAACGGAATTCATTAAAAAAGTTAGCAGCAACATGTGAGGAGTGTCATATTTTGCATACGTAATTCGACTGTGTGTTGTATGCTTTTGGGTCTATGTCGGAGAAAAAACATTTGATAAATATTTGAAATGTGCTTGGAAACTAGGGTTCAGGTTTGGAAGGGAAGCATAGCAATAAGTAAAAACGTAAGCAAGCTAACACGTTAACCCTGAGTCACGCACGCATCCATAGTTTTTACTGGTTTTCAACATCGATATACAAGCTTTCCTCGATGAAATCTTTAGTTTCGTTGAATTGTTGGGAAAAGGGTGGAATCGCTGCAGTATAACCACTACCACGGCGCTTCTAACAACTCTACCATCACAGTTTTCTCCTGCTTTTTTGAAGAAGTCATTGCGTTCCGACCTCACGACTGGCAGCCAAAATACAAACTTCACAAAGTGACACCAAAAGTTGAGCACCTTCGCCTCTACTCCTCAACAGACACCGTCCTATATGCAAGCCGAGAAATGTTAACACGATGAGTTTCTGTAAAACCATGGTAAGTTGTGGTACCTAAAAGCCATTACTCTATTTTTTGTCTCAGGTATGAATTCTCGGTACCGGGCAGTGAGATTAATAACTAAACGTGCCATCTCATGGCTTATGCCTACCGCAGCGAATCCAAGGTTTACCTTGTTAAATGAACTAACCGGTATTTGGTCTGGTTTATCTAGTCGACGCCAAAACTCCAGGTTACTGGCGAGTTGAAGCACTTAACAATAGCTCGGTTGTGTCATCGTCGATTCATTTGACATTTGACGTTGGATAAATCAACGAGGGCCACGTCATCCAAGTAATCACGATGTGATAATCAGTGTTCCAAATGTCGATTACCAGAGGGAGTAATATTATACTGGTGTTTATGCACATTGTTGTAGCTCGTAAGTGGTCAAAATGCCGATGATAGAAATTTACTCGGATGCCCCCTGCATATTAGCAGATACATGAATGGATGAATGAATGAATGTATAGACTAATAAATTAATAAACAAACTAAATAAATAAATAGGTGGGTTATCAAGCAAACGAGTCGGTGGAATGGCATTTTGGAACCGTTCGCTGTGGGGACACCAAACGTAAATAAAAAAACTCAGTCAATTTATTAAGATGCATTGAGAATAAATAGGGGCTCAGGTTCCTGCCATAAACCTTTAAATTCATCCCATAATATTGCTTCCATGCAATAATCCTAACGTTACGTCGACTTTTTGACTGAATGATGAACGTGACTTAAGCACGTGACTCCATTGATGAACACCTGAGGATTCAAATAAACCACTGATTGGGGAGCACCGTCCAGGGCTCCAGAGAGCTTGATATCAAAAGAACTTTCAGGTATGGAATCAGGATTGTCAACTCTGCAAGGTTATTGTGTATATCCAACACCGGGCTGCTCAGTGGAAACACTACCACCAACCAATATTAGCGCCAGACCTAACAATCAAGCTTCAAGACGTCAAACCAAACCAAAGCGCTTAGCGAACACCATTTACGAAATGGATCGTTCAGTGTCGCAACCAAGACGCTTTTTCTCGACTGGAAGAAGCCGGTCACGTAGACGGAATAAACAGGTACTTGTAAAGCAACAACCGTCTGGATGGTACCAGGCTGATCGTGTGACTAGGAACTTGTCTTTGGCTCCCAGAGTCCCGACCTATGAACAATCGGAAGTTACTTACAGTGTTGCGGGTGACCAAGCTCAACGGAAGCGCAGAAACAAACGAAATCGCAAGAACCTCAATAAATGGCAGAAACACGGAAGATTTCCATCACCATCTGTATTTCAATCTACTTTGGGTTTATTGAGTGAACTTCCTTGTGCCCGACTGCACTACGACAGTTTCCGGCGGATTTTCCCTACTTTACCGACAAGAACCATGAAAGAACGAAAGTTTCGTTTGGAGGCAGCACAACAATTACCGTTCGCAAAATATCCTGACGAGCAAGTGCGCAGTATCTTAGACACCAGTCCAACTAAAACGGAACCAACAGTTGGCGACAACAGCCTATACACATGGCAGACAAAGGACGACACAACAAAGACAAATACACAAGGTGCTTTGCCAGGTGGGCCTGAAGAAGGTGACACGCAAATGGCTAATGAACTAAGCGAGGTTAGCAACGAACCTGACGAAGACGAAACACAAGATGAAGATGAAAACGAAGAGAACGAAGAGTATGAGGGCGACGAACGACGGATCGACGTTGTTCTTGAGGTTACTCGAAAAACGGATACGACAAACACAGTCAGTGAACATGTTCAAAACGACGAAAATTTGGCCTCCGAAAATCAGGTGGACTCAACAACTGCTGTAACGAAGTCATCAAACATGGCACCGGAAGAATTCCTGTCGGTGATGGAGACAGTGAGCAAGTTGAACGATGACTTAGGGCTCACAATGCCCAGAAGACAATTCGATGAAGAATCACTACCTTTCATTGACATCGGTCAAGAACCGGATGCCTTAGACCTGGCACCACTTGCTACCTACGTTGAAGTACCCATACAGGCCAAAGCAACGCCACAGAATTCTCCGGTGAGACGGGAAATGGCATCTTTGCGAAGGTTGACGACCAATAACGTTGACGAACAAATGCGGCGCGGCAGAGGTGACAGATCATCACCGAAAGCAATCAGGCTTCAGATCTCTCCTTCTGACCCAGTTAAATTGACTCACAAACAAAGAGAACTAACAATCACGACAGAAAAAGTACCTAACACACCAGAGGAAACCATACCGACTCCTCAAGCTGCGGTCAGCCTGTTCGAATCCGCTGCCTATAACGGTCACCAAACTTTCGGTGCATTTTTGTGCAATGTTTGTGGCCAGACAGCATATCCCGCAGAAAGGTGTGAGGCTGATGGACAGGTCTTCCATGTAGCTTGCTTCCGTTGCCATCAATGCTCAACCATGCTTCAACGTGGGGCTTGGAACCAACGTGGATCGCACTACTTCTGTAATCCTTGTCACCGCCGGATTGCATTGCAGACACTGCGTCATTAACAAGCCGCCATTTGTGCTACCTATATCACCCAAATGCAACAACGGTTGGTAGGACTCATTGGATAGTCTGACTATTCATTTCAACTGGTGAAAATTTACTGGACTAACCCAACCTTAGACTCTTTTTGTTGTCGTCTTATTTGAGTGGTTCCCGACTAGATTCGACTGCAGTGTACTGCTTCAATCATTTTATGAACATGTGAAAAAATCCATTACAATATCGAGTGATCTATCCTCATTGAAAGGCGAGATAGTAGGTAAAACTACAACTAAGCTGTTTGCGCAGTCACCCTCTACCTGACCCATGAAATGACGAATGTCTGATGCTGGCCAGGATACCAGTTAAGAAACATACTTACTTTGACAAATGGGGTGGCTGTGGTCCATTTGGGAAGCAAGCCATTCCACTATACTGTACGTCTTGTACTACAAAGTGGGATAGAATACTGTCCCCTGGGTTTTACGACTTATTTGTAAGATATTCTCGTGGTGGAGTATTTGAGGCCTGTTTTCAGCCACACAAACCTCCAAGAATGAGAAGTTCAACGGTGTACGTGTCATGGTCTGGATGAAGGAAATTTGTAATCGCAGGAGAGTGAAGCGTCAATGCTCCCACCGATGCTGCTGTTTCCGATGATAAGGACGATGAAAACAGCATAATAATAGTAAGCATCCCATTCAAATCTACCGTCATTCATATTGTGCGGCTATATGAAAACTAATGATAGCAATTCTATAGTGTTCATAAGGAGATCCTTGACCCCTTAACTACTAAGACTGGATATGTAGATACCAGAAGGATGTCTACTGTTATTGTCGGATCTCACGCCATCGAATTCTGGTAGATTAACCATTCCTCACAGCTACTTCAGTAAGTCAGTCGGTCAATTTACCAACAATAGCCAAGTAAACACTACAGAGGCCGAATTGACACCTCGAGTAAAGACATTGACTTCTTTGACCGCTTTCGGTGTTCAGCATAACTGACACCACATTACGTATTCCTTTATTTAGCTAACCATAACTGGCCAATAATTTAGTAGGGGGTCGAGATGCCTGGTTAGAGTGCGAATTTACTGATCGGAAGGTTAGTGGTTCGAACCCGAACTTTGCCTCTCAACTTTCCCTGTCTAGGTTTGGGCAACCTGGCAACATCCCAGCTGTCGTGCTTCCCTCGGGTGGCAAGGCAGCTAGGCATCGGAATGGACGATTATATTATTATTATTATTATTATTATTATTATTATTATTATTATTATTATTATTATTATTATTATTATTATTATTATTATTATTATTATTATTATTATTATTATTATTATTATTATTATTATTATTATTATTATTATTATTATTATTATTATTATTATTATTATTATTATTATTATTATTATTATTATTATTATTATTATTATTATT